TGACTCAGTGACCCGGCTCACTGGGAGTTGGGGGCCAGTGTCATTAGAGTATTATCGCAGAAAGACAGCATGTAATACAATAAACATGCCAAACTTGCATTGTTCTAAGTCTGTCCGTTGGATGTGCTTTGCTACAGCAACAACAGAAAATGAATGGGGGCCAGGTTTGCATTTGGAAGACCTCAGGGCTGCCAGCAGCTCACGCCTGTAATCCCAGCTTCTCAAGGAGGCTGAGATCTGAGGATCATCGTTCAAAGCTAGCTTGGGCAGGCTGGACGTGGGGTTGTGTGGCTCAAGTGGTAGAGCGCCAGCCTTGAGTGAAAAAGCTAAAGGGCCGTGCCCGGGCCTTGAGTTCAAGTCCAGTCCTGGTGCCAAAAAGACACTGGGGTCAGACTTATCCCAAAAGAAGGACACAGCTTCCAGTTTGTACATCCAGAGGCTCCTGCTCAGGACGCCCGGATGTGGCTTTTTTATCCTTGTAATATTTTTTGTTGAGATTGGACTCACCCAATTCCCATTTAAAGTGCGCGCATCAAGGGTTTTCAGTATATTTAGAAATGAGCAGCCATCCCCTCAGTCCATCTTTGAGCATTTTGGTTATTTCTAAATATATACCACACCCTCTAGTCATCACTCCCCCCTCCTCCAGCCCCTGCAGCCCCGCCCCCCCCCACTCTGTGTTTATGCACCTACTGGCTCTCAGTATTTCATATAGAAATATTTCAAACAGAAGTGATGTTCTGTAGATCTGACATTTTCCACATAGCACATTTCCAGTGTTCATGTGTTTGATAGCATGTGTAAGTATGCCATTCCGCCTTTTTTGTTTTCGTGCCAGACCTGGGGCTTGAACTCAGGGCCTGGATGCTGCCCCTGAGCTTCTCTGCTCAAGGCTAGAACTCTATTACTTGAGTCACAGCTTCATTTCTTTTTCTTTTCCTTCTGGTTCTTTGGAGATATGAGTCTCGCTGACTTCCCTGCCTGGGTTGGCTTCAAACTGTGATCCTCAGCTCTGAGCCTCTTCAATATCTAAGATTATAGGCACGAGCCCTTCTGCACCTGGTTCACCATTCCTTTGTATGACTGAATAATATTCCACTCTGTGGAAGCACCGGTTTTGTTTCCCCATTCCGGAGGTGACAGCCTCTTGGACTGCGTCTGCCTTTGTGTATGCAGAGATCTGAGTTCCTGTGCAGGCCATATTGAGAGACACACATTCCCTGGCTGGTGACAGTCTCTCTTCTCTACATATTGCTTTTGCAGCAGGGACCGTAGGACCGTAGGGACAGACATAGGACGCTGCCAGCTGAAGTCTCCATAGCAGAGATCACGTAGTTTCTTTTTTTTTGTTGGTTGTGGGGCTTGAACTGGGCCTGAGCACAGTCCCTCAGCTCTTTAGCTCAAGGCAAGCGCTCTACCACTTGAGCCACAGCGCCACTTCTAAGTTTTCTGAGTGGTTTATTGGAGATAAAGAGTCTCACAGACTTTCCTGCCTGGGCTGGCTTTGAACCACGATCCTCAGATCTCAGCCTCCTGAGTAGCTGGGATGACAGGCGTGAGCCACCAGCGCCCAGCATCACCTAGTTTCTTTAAGCATCTTGTCCCCCCCTCCCAAAGTTGGAGATGTGGGCCCCGAGGCTGGGCCCGGGGCTCACACTGAAGGCTTGAGCTCACACAGCAAGGACAGACCCCAGCCCCAGCCTGTGATGCTTCTTGTAGAAATCTGTCACCAAAGGTCACCTGACTGGCAAAACAGGAAAAAAAAATTAGAAACTGTTTTCCATTTGCCTGTCTTGCCGTGGGCTTTCTCAGAGGAAAGGCCAGCTGGACTTTCTCCAAGCACTCAGCACTTTTTTGGGGGGCAGGGGGGCAGTTGTGGGGCTTGAACTCAGGTTCTTGAGTTTTTTTGGTTTTGTTTTGTTTTTGGTTGGTCATGGGGCTTGAACTCGGGACTTGGGCGCTGTCCCTCAGCTCTTCAGCTCAAGGCGAGCGCTCTACCGCTTGAGCCACAGCTGGGGGCTGCCACGCGTGTGGGCACGTGCGTGTGGCGATCCTTTCCCTGTCCCCCGTGACTGGAAGGAAGAACCCTAGACTATGCAAAACCTCAGCGTAAGAAAATGAGGGGAGCGGGGTGCGCTCACCTGAGACTTTGTCAGCAACCCCTCCAGGGTCCCGCCATGAGCACGTGGCACCGATGGAGTGCAGGAGCCGAGAGCATCCGTGGGCCTCGATGGTGTGGCTCACTGGCCGCAGGCCCATGCAGAAACGGTGCCCCGCCCCTCAGAGCAGAGAGGATCACACAGCGCAGGCCAGGCCAGGCAGGACCCTGGTTCCTTCCCTCCTCCTGTCCCTCAGCCATCTGGCCTTTGTCCCAGGGTGGGGGGGGGGAGGGGAGCATCCTGGCTGAGAATAGTGGCCATCCCTGAGCCCCGATCTGCGTCCAGCACCTCCCAGCCTGGGGCGGAGGTGGGCAGCCGCGCCCATCGCCCCTTCCCTTTTCTCCCCCGCGATGATAAACACAGTGAGGTGCAAAGCTGTGCAGGTGATCATTTGCGACTTGGCAAAGCCGAGCCCTGCCATTTGGGCCAGTCCAGGCAAAGGCCATGCCGCAGAGCCCCAGGGCGCTGGCCATGCTGACTCAGCAGTGCGCAAGGTCTGCTGTCCCTGTCGCTGACTGCACAAGCTGGTTTCAGCCAGCTCCAGCCAGCCCTGAACCCTTCTGGGTCCCCTCTCGCGAGAAGAGAGAGAAGGAAGGCTATGCAAAGGTGGACTTCCCGTGTCCCAGGGACCCCACGTGGTGGGGGTGAAGGACTTGCCTCTCCCCTCTTGGCCGGGTCATGTCACGCATCTAAAGATGGGCTGTGAAGGTCTGAGCCCGCCCTACTGCCCCAGGCCCACACGGGTGCCAGGCAAAATCCCAGCTATGGGCAAACTGTGTGAGCAGAGTAAGGCTTTGGGGTCCCCCAGCCCTGAGCAGGATTGACTGCCAATGCCTGATGGAGGGGCCTGGGGGTCCAGAAAGCTGGAGAAGCCCCCCTCCCGCCTGCCCCACCCTCTCCTTCTCCACAGGAGCTGAGCAGGATGGCGGCAGAGGCTCAGAGTGGATGCGCCACGCAGCACCTGGCTGCAGACCAGGCTGCGGAGGCTCCAGTACCGAAGTGCTCCCTCCCCGGAAATCAAGATCCAGTGCCCAGGCACTGATGAACACTCAAGCCTTAGCTCCTGCCGGGGAGTTGGGGTGGTGCATGATGTGGCCCTGGGGCTGCAGGCCAGCAGGGACAGCACTGCATGAAGGGAACAGCCCTGGGACCCCAGTCAAAAGAACAGGGAACCCCAGGAAAGAAGAGGGGGGCAGTGAGCCGGCCCACTCCATGCTGGCACCGCACACATCTCCCATCTAGACAGCTGCAGGTGAGCCTGACATCCAGGCACCAACGACAGATTTAGAGGAAGCACTATGAAGCTGGGGTCTGTGTGTGTGTGTATCAGTACTGAGATTTGAACTCAGGGCCCAGGATGAAGCTGTGTGTGTGTGATGAAGCTGTATGTGTGTGTGTGTATCAGTACTGAGATTTGAACTCAGGGCCCAGGTGCTATCCCTGAGCTTTTCCACCCAAGGCTGGAGCTCTACCACTTGAGCCACAGCGCCACTTCCGGCTTTTTCTGTTTATGTGGTGCTGAGGAATCGAACCCAGGGCCTCATGCATGCAAGGCAAGCGCTCTACCACTGAGCCACCTTCCCAGCCCTCAATTCTGCATCTTGTCCAGGCAAACATTCTCTCTTTCCATCTACACAGACCAAGACAAAATAAACGAAAGACGCAAATAGCTGCATTTTGATTTTAAGGTGACAGGTTGCAGAGTCTAGTGTCACCTAACTGCAATTAGGATTAAAGCAGACAAGGGGCCTGAGAGGCCAGGGGTCCCCAGGCCAGGGCAGCTGGGCTTAGGCGCTATGATAGGATGGTACAGGCTTGGGCCATGGATGTAGGATTGGGCCTGCCCACGTCTGTCCATCTGTGGCTGGTGTAAGCCATGCCCACTGCCCTTGGCTTCGCCTCATTTTCACACCTGGCAGGTCAGAGCGTGGAGCCTCTGCTCCAGAGGAACCGGAAGCTCAGCAGTCTGAGCATGCCCAGAGGAACTGGAGGCTCAGCAGCGAGAGCATGCTCCGAGGACTCCGCATACCCCACAAGGAGACGCGCGCGACGCCACCTTTGTGTCACCGGGCCAGACTTAGTTCCAAGATGAAACGGGGCAGGCTGTTGGTGGGGTTTCTCTGGGTAAGTTCCATTTATTAATCATTGTACAAAAAAAAAATCTTGGCATCCATTCGAAGAGAAAGAAGATACTATATCCAAATAGTTAATACCTTAACATTGAGAAAGTTCTACTTTTCTAACAGGGCTTTTTGAAAATGGAGAAAACTTTTGGAAAAATCTTTAAAAAGAAACTTATGATTTATTAGAGTACAGGATCCAAAACACATTTTTAGAAAAATATAAAGTGCCCAAATACCAACTTACACAGGTGAGAGTGGCTTCCGGGAGCCAAACGAGGCGCTGATGAAGAAACACATTAAAAAGTCTAGGTACATTATGTACAGCGGTCAGTGGCGGCCAGACGTGTCTCCTGGTCTGCGGCAGGCAAGGAGAAAGGAACCGGCGGCGGGCAGGCGGCGGCTCTAGCTCAGCATGCTCCGCTCGGTTCTGGGCACGGGCGCCCCCGCCGCCCGGCAGGCCAGGCTTGTGGGCGGACGGGTTTCCAGAAGCAGGTTCACCTGTGGGGCTGGGACGGCTGCCTCCCTCTAGTGATGCTAACTTCTGCACCGGCCCCTCGTGTCTGAGGTGGACCCCCACATCTGGCGAGCACAGGGAACACTGCATGCAAATGGCAAGGGGTGCAGAGGCGCAGCCCCTGCGTCTCGCTCTCCAGAGCAGCTGCACCACGGCCAGCGGCGGCTCCTGCGGACCCAGCTCGCTTCCGGCGGAGCGCCCTTGCGGGACATGACAAGCAGGCCTCGTCTCCATGAGCCCACCTCTTCAAATGAGAGACACCGACTTCCACCTCTCTACCCTGCGTTCAGGGAAAGACTAGGAGGGAATGGGAGGAATGTGGAGCATGGGGTGTTCTTTTCAAAACTAAGCATCATTAGTTCCTGACTTGAAAAGCAAGCCCCACTGCGGACCTTTGCAGACCCAAAGCACACGGTACTAAACACCGGACGCACTGGGCTCGCTACGAGAAGGGACCCAGCCACCATGGAACCATGACCCACTTGTGATTCTGGAGATTTCTAGAAACAAGCAGTCATTCTGAAGGAAGGAATAGATGAATGTGGAAAACTCCACTCATAAAGGCTGCTATTATGTATTTTCTCAAATAATATTATGTAATAAAATAGAAAACTCATGATTTATAGCAATGTGTATAAATCCAAGGAATATAGAAGGGAAAACTGCCATTTCCCGATTTAAATTAAAAAAACGAAAGATGAACACTTGCAGTCTGTGTTTCGTGTATTAGCAGAAGGAAACTTCTAGTATTCTAACTGCCACTGGCTTGCTAGGCCTCCTCCACCACACGCAGAGCGGGGTGCGTGCGGCCAAATGCAGGGTGAAGAGGCCTTTGATCCCCACCAGGACTGCACCCGGAGGAGGAGGGAATCACCCCACTGCGCAAACCCATCTATCCGGTGGCCCGCTGGGAGACAAATGCAGACAGACAGAGGGGGGAGGGGCGGGGTAGGGGGCGGGCTGTGAGGTCACACACGGTCACAGGACGAGCAGACAAGCCATGCCACTCCACAGTGCCTTCCAGTCCATTCACTAGTGTAGCGGACCACGACCTCGTCCCTGCGCGGGGGGAGGGCGCGCGCGGAGCCACGCAGCTGCGCTGCTACTCAAGTGGCTTCCGGCGGCGGAGTCCAGAGGGGCCATCGGGGCTCCTGGGGGGCGCCGAGGCGCAGTGCCTGCTGGGACTAGCCGTCAATGCTCTCCTTCTTGGCACTGTAAATGTTCTGCACCGTCTCGTACACAAACTCCAGGTCTTCCGGGTAGCGGAGCTCCAGCTCTGCGTTGGGGATGTAGTGTGTGCCGGTGAACTCCGAGAAGTAGCGCCCCACGTCAGGGTGTGAGATCTCCAGAGGCTCCACATTGTACTCCAGGTTTTCTATCGGCAAAGGGGCACACACAGCCCTGTGAGCACAGTTTCTATCGGCAAAGGGGCACACAGCCCCGAGAGCACAGTTTCTATCGCAGCAGCTTTTCCCCAGAGACCCTCCTTTTGAGAAAAGACTGAAGAGGCTTAGGGTATTGGGGAGACTAGAGGAAAAGGTGGGGGTGGCCATGGGGGGCATCTTCCTGGGACTCATCAACTGGGGACACACCCATCCCTCTGCTCCGGCAGCCCCTGGGAGCGCACACCCGCTCCTGTGCCCTGCCACGCAGCCGTGCTTCTAGCGGCGGGGTCCCCCAGGTGACTGGACGCCTCCAGGAGGTAGTGGGAGGAGGCGCACCCCACCCCGCACGCAGCACACCCACGGCGGCTGCACTGCCCACCTCTGCCAACGAGAGAAAACCACACGTTCCGATGGAGCGGGAGAAAGCTGCACAGGCGCCGCGGCATGTGAGTGCTGTGTGGCTCCTCCCTGGCCACGGCCCAGGTGTCCCGCCCCAGCTACGCCCAGCAAGTCTTTACCACCTGCTCAGAAATGCGCTGGGCCAGGCAGAGCCCCATAGGACGTGTTCCCAGGGTCGCCCCTGCCCGCTCTCTGTGCACCCCACGGCACAGCCTGGCCCTTAGTGGCCAACCACATACCGACGCACGCCCCCTACTGGGGGCCTGCCAGAAACACAAGATGCGGGTGGGTGGAGCCTGACACAGCACCCAGGGAAACTGCCAGATGCGTGTGTGTGCGTGCATGCGTGTGTGTGCGTGCGTGTGTGTGGGTGTTGGATTACGAATGGGTTTTACTCAGAGCAATGGGATAAATCCAGAAATGGACCACCCATACCTAGGGTTTCAAAATTCAGCTTCTCAACATCTGCCGCTGGCTAAATATGGGCTGACAAGAGCCAAGATCGTCTCAAAGGCCGTCACAACACTGAGCTGAAACCCAGGACTCCGGTGGGGAGGGGCGGGCGGCAGCGGCTTGCTCCTCGCTCCAGTTCGCAGAGCAGAACAGTGCCATGTGACCGCCTTGAGCAGCAACGCCCCGGGAGGGATGCTGGGTGCTGGGATGAGCCTTCACACGATGCCGGGGGACTGTCCCCAGGGGGAGGCACACCCCAAACGGCGGCTGCGACTCTGCACAGACGCGACCCAAAACACATCACAGCAGAACATTCACTGATGTGATCGAGTGGCGGGTCTAACTTCCAGTTTACAGACCACACAACAAAACAAGGCAGCGTGCTGAGACCATCTCCAAGACAACCAGGCAGCCATGACAAAGGTCCCCGTGGTCATGGGGAGGAGCTGCTACTAAACACTTGACCGGCTGAAGCCCCAGTGCCGGCGGCCCTGACCTTCAAATGGCTCCCCGAGCTCCTCCTGAGGGCAACAGAAGCTCAGAAGACACACTAGAAACCCGAAGTCACCGGGATTTGTTAAGTGTGGCTGCGGTTGTGCCAATGCAGGGAATGGTCATGTGATTCAGCACTGAGGGGCATAAAAAAGCCCACACCTGAGACAAATGGTAACGCTGTCACACCTCCACTTTTGTAGTCCCGAGCTGTGATTCTCTGGCCCCAGCCCGCTGAGGAGCTAGAATCACAGGCACGAGCCAGTGCTCAGCGCAACATGTACTTTTTGGGAGGCAGATTTTTCACAAAATTCAAGGCAGAGAATCACTGAGCAAATCCCAAACTGGATGAAATACAACTAGTGGTACGAAGGGCCCTAGTAGCCTCCCCAGCCGCAGACCTGGGCAATTCATGTGTGGGAATTAAACATTTTGGATTTTGGAATATCTTGATTTTATATGTGACTACATTTGCCAAAATCAGGTGTAGTAAGTCCAAGAAAAGGCGGGCTTACTGCCTTACTGCGGGGGTCGGTTGTGGGGCTTGAACTCAGGGCCTTGAGCCTTTTCCTTTTTCTTTTTTTTGCTCAAGGTTAGCACTCTACCCCTTTGAGCCAAAGCTCCATTTCTGGTGTTTAGGTGGTTAATTAGAGATAAGACTCTTACAGACTTCACTGCCTCGGCTGGCTTCAAACCACATTCCTCAAATCTAAGCCACCAGCGCCTGGCTGCGCTTTCAACTGTTGGACAGTGCTCTTAGTCTGAAGTCCCTGGAGACACGACGCCTCTCTCATTCTGCACTCTTCCTACTCGTCTCACTGTGTGCTGTGTCTCCCTGCGGGGCAGCTGCTGATGGTTAGGACAGACAATGGTGGGTGAAGCTGCTCTGCCTGAGAGCGCTCACATGGCCCTGGATTTGATTCCTAGCACCATCACCACAACCAGCAAAATTGTCACAGTTAATTCAACACAAGTGAAATTCAACAAGGGCCTAAATAAAAAAAGGCTGATTCTCTGAAAGCCTTCTGGCCTCTACCCTGCCTGCTTCAGTTTGCCATACTAAATACCTTCAAAGATCACACTGGCACTCAGGTCAGCACTGTGGACTGAAGTTCCCACAAGTGACCACACGAGGGCACCAGTGAGAAGGCACAGCCAAAGTCACAGGGGCCCAGAGGGCACATGTGTAGGAGGTAGAATTGTGCGGAATTTGACTGGCACAGGCAGTGACCAATCAGATCACAGCATGACAACAATATTGGTATAGGGTCCTTGCTGTGTGTGGCTGCCCCCGTGCATGCCCGCTCAAGTTTAGTCCTGAGATTAGCTATGCCCAACCACCACCTCTGCGCATCTGAGTGCTGAAAACAGGCCCAGGGGTCAGGGAGGGTCCGTGGAGCTCCTTACCTTGGGCTGCGTATCTACAAGAACCATCCTCCACCAGCACATTATAGAAGGGCTGGTGGTGGCCGTGCGGCAGGCTGTGCACATTCATGTTCCGGATCCACTCATGCCCCATCATGCAGGTGGGGTCCCAGCCGTAGATCACACAGTTGTAGCCGTACCTAGTGGGCAGAAGACACCGCACGTCAGTTCCCTGGCCCATCAGAGCAACTGTGGGAATCTGCTGGGAAAATGGTGTGGCTTCTCCAGCCTACATCTTCCACATTCACCTGTCTGTTCTGGGTTGACTCAGGACACCCCTGCCCTCTTCACTAAACCACTCCTATCATCAACAAAGTTCTCAGCAAAGAATGACAGGCCAGCTGACTGTCTAAGTAAAAAGGTACCAGGGCACTGGCCAGATTCCCCACATCCAAACCAATCCTGCCAACAGCATGGATGCCGGTGCAGAACCTTAGACAGCGACAGGACCAACAATGCATGAAGACTAAGCAGCCTGGTGACAATCAACTAGCACATCATGCAGGACAGCCAGAAGGATGAGCTCTGGCTGGAGAGTGGATGAAGCCAAAGAATGATGATTTGTTAGATGTGCTAACAGAATGATGAATAAACTAGGAGGAAAGGGAGGGGTTGGGGGGGGGGAGAGAACATGAGTGCGTGCTCCCTATCATTTAGAGAAGCAAAGTGACATGCCTGCCGGTACTGGCATCAACTGAGCAGGGAGGACCAGAACCAGAGGTGGGCAGTGAAGGCTGGCCTGTGTGCTAACTGCTGACGCTGGCTGATGACGACACACCTGGCTCATTATGCTCACAGCTCTATTCGTAAGAGTGCTTTTAAGTTTCCATAATAAAACTGAAGGAAAAAAAAATGACCAAAAAACCAAACACCAGAATACACTAAGAGGATGACACACAGAGCCACAGCAGAGGAGGCACTTTGGACTTTTCCTCCCACAGGGACTCGTGTTCAGGGTAAGAACGGCTAATCAATAGGAGCAATAATAACAGAAAACCTCCAAGTACTTGAAACCACCAAGAAACCTGAATGGCCAAAATGTCTGAAAAGACCCGCGAACTGGTGTAGGGCCACAGAGAGGCGAGAAGCACAGCACAGAAGCCTTGGCCAGTAGTGCAGTGTGAAGAGCAGCACTCGGCCCCAGGTCTGCTGGCAGGAATGAGCACCACCATGTCAGACAGTGTGTGTGGAGGACAGCTCACGTGCACAGAGCCTAGGATCATGAGACAGACTCGCAGAGCTGGGCACACAGCAGCAAGTGGCCAGACATGGCCAGCCGTGATTCCGAGCTGGGTCCTCCTGCCGTGACGTGCCAGCTGGCCGGAGGCTCTGCGTCCTGCACACTCACCTCTTATGCTTCATAATGAGCCCAATGGAGTAGCAGACGTCCCTGTGCTTCTCATCGGAGCGCAGCTTAACCTCCACGCCTACCTCCTCCTTTTTACGCTCAATGTGCTCGAGTGTATGCTGCACCAGATAGCCCACCGCCCCGTGCTGCCCGGGGTCCAGGGTCTGGATGTGCTGCAGGATGTCAAGCACCTTCAAGACAAGACAGAAAGACTAGGAGATAATATTTTCGCCAGGCCTTTTCTTTTCCGCAGTGTGGGATCTAGACCTACCTACGTAACCTGACAGAGGCCAGCAAGGGGGGCTGCCACATAGGCCCCCCCATGCCTGGAGAAAATCCTAAGCTACTTTGATAAGAGCTGCAAAGACATGCAGACACAGCTGCCTCAGTGCTGGGGGGACAGCAAAGGTCACTGAAGAAGCCTAGGGATGGGAGGCCTGCCTGCCTCCACGGCCAGCACCCTAATTGCTCACTGTGCCTCCACAGAAAAATGAGCGCTGAGCCAGGTTACCACACATATGCGTGAGTGCATGCGCACACATGTGTAGTTCTCTGGCAAGTCTGTCCTTCCACCTTCCTGCGCCTGAAATCACAGGCTTGCTCAGTGGCAAAGGCAACCTCCAGTCCAGGACCAGATCTGTGAAACTAGCTGTTTTTAACTGTGAATTGTTTTCCTCACTTATCAAATGATGACTCACCACCCTATTTCCTAGTACAACTGAGCCTTCAGATAGGACTAGTCCTAAGCAACAGAAGCCATTGTCATGGAAACCCAGCCTTGTTTTACAAATTGACACTCGAGGGCCTTCATTTCCTTAGGATGCATGCATGGCTCTCCTCTACCCATGGCGGGGTCACCGCTGGGCCTCAGAGAGCAGACGATGAGGCTGTAGAAAGCATGCGCACCATGGCTAACCCTAGGTCAGAATGAGCTCAGCATACCTGCTTTACACCTTCTTCCACCCCACACAGGCCTTTCCCCAACACCCCCTTCTCAAGTGGAACAAGAGGTCCCCGTATTCAAAGCCCGACAGTTGTAAGGTCTTTTCCATGTCCAGAGGACCCCAAGGGCCTGTCGGCCACACTGTATTGCAAGAGCCTGCCCCGGGCAGGGATGTTAAGGGAGCTGAGGTCAGAGAGGGAACTTGTATGACAGTTTGTCAAGATGACTTGAGCAGAGTAAAGGGGCTTAGCAGGCGGCTGAGCCCACGTCGGCTCTGGAGGAGGCCTGGGGAGCCAGGGCCCAGCAGCCATGCACACCTGGGTGAGAATGGCAGTGAGGGGAAAGGGGAGGCCTGCCTGGAAAGGGGAAAGGGAGGGGGAAGGGTGTAGAGTGCAGGCAGGAGAGCCCACACTGCAGAGAGCCTTGCAGAGGGATAGAGGGCAAGAATGGAGCAAAAACCTAGGAAGCCGAGATCTGGGAACAGGGAAGGTGGTTACCAGCTGGGGCAGTTGGCAGTGTGGAGGCCAGATAAGGAAGGCAAAGCATTTTCTGGGCCCAGTGACAAGAATGAGCAATGGAGGCCATGGACTTTCTGGGCCTGGACGTTCATGGACTTTCAGCACCTGGAGGGCTGAGCAGACCCCACATTCAGGGACATGTGTGGCAGGGGCGGGCAGCCACGGTGTAGTCAGGGACAGTAAGAAGGAGCACCAACTGGGGGGCTGTCTTGGAAGTGGGAGGGGTCCTCTCCACTGCAATGCTCAGGAGGAGGGCAGGGCTAAGCATGGACTGCACATCCCTCTTTGGTGATTTGGAGATGAGTCCATGCAACACCCCAGTGAGAACTCGAGCTGACCCCTCTCCACGCTGGTTAACAAACAACATGGTTACAGACCTACTTCTGGGGGCAGCAAGGACAGGGCGGGTGGCACGGTAGCTCTGGCATGGTCACAAGTGGGCCCAGGAGTCCGGGTCCATGGCTTGCCAATGTGCGGTAGTGCCTAGGCCACAGGGAGCATCAAGAAGAACAGCATGGCGGCTGGACTCCGATGCTTTACGGAGTCACTTTACTTGCTCGCTGCAGGGCTGCATCCCTTGATGAGTGGGGTGGGGTGGTCCTGGGAGCTCAGTGTCCCGCCACAGAGGAGACACCAAGTTCTACAGGAGAACCAATGCTCCTTAGAACAGAAGAACTTCATTGACGGGTCACGACCGGAAGACTTAATTTGGGATGGCCACCTTTCCATCAGAATTTTCCTCTCTAAGGCAAGGAAGAAGCAGCAAAGTAAAATAATTACCTTCTCTGGCCAGATGCCCAGGTGGAAGTAGAGTCTGGCCTGGAGGAGCAGCAGCTGCACCTGGTCAGGGTACATGGCTAGGTACAGGTCCAGCGAGTCCCGCAGCAGCTGGTATGACTGGTCAATGCCCTCCCTAGGGACAAGAGCAGATCTGTCTCATCCTGTCTGTTCACTTTGCAATCAGGAGCCCCTTTTTGGAAAGGAACTAACAAATTCCAAATGTATTTTCCTGACTCTGCCATTTCCCCCTTTTTCTGTAAAGAGTTATAATGCTCTTAACAAAATGTATAATACACAGAAACCTTGTGTTCAGTGAAATCCTCACTATTCAGTAACACTGCTGTAAGAAAGGGGTGGGGGGCGCCTTTTCACATGTGTATGTTAAACTCCACTAAACTCCTTTGTATATGTTTACCTGAAGCCCGATTTACCGTTAAATTTGTGAGTCATTTAAACCCAAAATGATAGGCTGGTTTAAACAGCCATTATGTGACAAAGTGTAACCTCACTGGCTACCTGCGTGTGGTCTGGTATGACTGTGCAATCTTTTGGGTGTGTGACAATCTCATTGGTCGCCTACATGACCAGGCTTCACCTTGTGATTTTTGCCTTTAAAAACCTAAACATGTGGGCCGCTCAGGGTCGCAGTATCAGCTCCCGAGCCTGTGCTGCGGCCCTGGCTGGTCAGTGTAGGAACCTTCTCAATAAAGTTGTTTCTTTAATAAAAAAAAAAAAAAAAGAAAGGGGTGGGGGGGAGTGAGGGGCAGAGTGACTGCTCTGTGGGGCTCTACAGCATGCAGAGTGAACCCCAACGCCGCCTATGGCCTGGGGCAATGCTGGCAGGTCAATGGAGGACCAGCTCTGATGACAAACGTCTTCGCGGGTGAGGGACAATGACACTGGAGAAGGTCACGTGTGCACAGGGACAGGAACATATGGGAAGTCTACATTCTGTGCACTTTTGCTGGCAATCTAAAATAGTCTATTAAAAAAAAATTGGATACCAAGCAGAAAGCTACTGCTGTAACACACACCTACAACTTTCCCGGGAATACTATGCTTCTCTTCATCTTATGCAAATCACAAGCAGATCCTGTTTAGCTGTCAGAATCCTATTTGGGTGAGGTAGGCACACACGCAGATGTTTACCGAGAGCTCGCCTAAGACCGTTGCAAAAGTCTCTGAGAAAAGGCACTGAGGCCATGGGAACGGCGTGAGCACAAGGCTACAGGACCAGCCCCTTCCCGGGGCAGTGACAGCCATCAGTGCCCAGACTGCTCTATGGTGTCACAGAACTGAGGCTGCTGGAGCATCTCTAGAGGCATAGCACCCGAGTTCAAATCCCAGTGTTACCAAAACCCCAATTCTCCCAGACCAACAGGCACCCCTGGCACCCAGGCCCGCTCTTACCGCTTGCCCAGGCTGAGCAGGTTCCCCACCATGCGCTGCAGCACCTTCTTCACGTTCACCACGCCATACAGCGCCGCGGTCACATGCTGGCCGATCAGGTACTCGCACTCCTTCACCGTCAGCTGCTTGCCCTTCCCAAAGGCATCTATGTAGATGTAGTCGAAGATGTCCAGGGTTGTCCTAACCAAGAGCCAACACCAGATGAGACAGGAAGGATTCGGTCTTGGACTTCCCCACACCCCAACTGAACATGGACAGCAGGAGGATCCCAAGTTTGAGGCTGGCTCAGGCCACTGAATGAAACCATGTCTGAAGACCAATCAACCAACTAACCACACCAAAACCCAAACCCAACCCAACCCCCCCAAACCCAAAGTCCTGAGTAAGCAGCTCAAACCTGACCTTATGCACATAGGCCATAAAGACCACAGTGTCCTGGACTTAGAGACAGTTCTGACATACGCCAGCTGCTGCAGTGTGTTAGCAACACAGACCCCCAAAATGCCATGGACATTTATCAGAGCTCAGTGACAGAAAGTTCTGGCAGGGGCTGTGGTGGGACCAGCATCTGAGAAGAGTTACAGCACACCACCATGAAGAGCTCAGTCCTCTGCTTTCCATCCCCAGCATGGCCTTAGCTGGATTTGATGACACTGGCCCAGGAGCCATGCTTCATGCTTCACGCTCAGAGCCGAGTGGAGTACCATGACAAGTTCTTACTGCATGCTGAGTGGGAGCTTGTGGAGGGGTTAGCTGACTCTTGTGAACACAGCTTTTTTTTTAACTGTATTTTTTTTGGGGGGGGGGGTACTGGGAACCAAACCCAGGACGGACGCTGCACTTGCTGCTGAGCTACATCCCAGCCAGAGCAGCTTCTCTGACAGTTAAGAATCCTGAGCAAGCAGAGCACTGGTGGCTCACATCTGCAATACTAGCTACTGAGGAGGCTGAGATCTGAGGATCACAGGTAGAAGCCAGCCCCAGCAGGAAAGTCTGTAGATTCTTGTCTCCATCTGCTCAGAAAAAGTTCAGAAGTGGCACTGTGGTCAGCACTCAGGGCCAGACCTCTGGCCCCAGGACTGGCAAAAATTAAAATTAAAAGAATGAATCCTAAATAAAGGCCATTTACTGATGGCTCATAGCTGCAATTCTAGCTCAGGAGGCTGAAGTCTGAGGATTACAGTTCAATGCCAGCCTGGGCAGGAAAAAAGTCCATAAGCCACATGCAATTAACCACCAAAAAAGCCAGAAGTGGAGCTCTGTCAAGTGGCAGAGTACTAGTCTTGAGCAGAAAAGCTCAGGAACAGTGCACAGGCTCTGAGTTTAAGCTCCTGGACCAGTATGTGTGTGCATGTGCAGAATCTTGGGTGATTTCTTCTCTGAATTGTGTTCTGTTTACAGTCTACTTTTAGCAAAAATCTAAGAGTTATATAAATGGTCTAGAAACAAGAAACTCTAACTCTTTTCATGAGACTGAAACTTTATAAGGAAAAGCACAAAAAAATTTACTGGCCAAGTTTATGAGCAAAATCTCCTGGACAGAAAATAGACAAATCAAACACGGCAATGATATTTAAAATGTGATTAATGCCAGGCCCTAGTGGCTCATGCCTGTACTCCTAGCTTCTCAGGAAGCTGAGATCTGTGGATTGAGATTTGAAGCTAGCCCTGGCAGGAAAGTCCTTGAGACTCCCATCTCCAATTAATGGCCAAAAAGTCAGAAGTGGGTGTGGCTCAAGAGCAGAAAACCTCAGGGGCAGCTCCCAGGCTGGAGCTCTGTAGTACTATATAAATTTAAGAATATTTTAGAGATATGTAAGAAGATACACTGGGTTGAGAAAAGGAAATAGGCTGAAAAAATTATTTTCATTTAAAATAAGGGAGAAGCGGCGGGGGGGCGGGAATGCTCAACACCTAGTACATTTTTAGGAACATGAATTTGGGAACGTATAAACACAGTTGTTAAGGAACCACGCACACACATAATGAAGCAACAAATCTACATGCAAGTAAATACTTTCAGACTAGCTGGGTATTCCCTGTGGGGAAGGAAGGGGAGGAGGCAAGCTTAGAGGCACCAGTGAGACTCTGCCAGGCAGTGATACAGAATAAGCAATCTCCTCTTGTAAGCACCCAAGCTGTTCATCGAAAACATCTGCCCCATGTTACACAGGAAGGTACTGAGACTGAGGCCCCAGTCTTCAGGGCTTTCTATCACACGATGGGCATGAATGTATTTGAGCCAGCAGTTTCAAAGAAGAGGAGAGAGGATACAAGCTTTTCATCTAAGTGGAAAATTTAATGTGAAGTTATTTCAATCAATCGATTTCTTTCTGAAAAGCTAGACTACAGCCAAAAAGGAACCGTTAGCCAGGTAAGACATTAGGCTTAAAAGAAGACAACAGCCAGCTGTCGTGCCCACCTGTAATTTCAGCAGTTAGGACTCTGAAGCAAGAGAATCCAGAGTTGAGATCAGCCTAGGCTACATGAGCTCAAGGCCAGCCTGACCTACATACCAAGACCCTGTATAAAACCAAATTGAGATGTCTCAGCTCTGTTGTAGAGCACTTGCCTGGCGTGCCCAGGCTCTGGGTTCCATGCCAAGCACTGCAAAGATGATAAAGATGATAAAGATGATGATGATGATAAAAAAGAAAACAGAACCCATATGCCAGTCTTGATAATTCTCATCAGCTGGTCACCAACATTGCAGAAAAGTTTTGCCCCCATATTTGTTCTTAGACTCGTGTGTGTGTGTAGGAGGAAGGAGAATTTATGGAAGAAAGTAAAGCAAGAGTCTAGGAACTCTTTGATCTGATCTACTCTGGAGCAAAGGGACTTGGAGAGCCAGACCTTGAAGTTGCAGCATATTTCTCTTAACTAAACTTCTTGTGATGTTTACAGATTCACATAAGAAACTGCCTTAATGTAACCTCCTCTGCTGGAAGCACTTGTTTATGATAAAATATCACAACCGGAATATCAATACACAAAACAGCATTAGCACCCTGGTTCTGGTTTTAGCCTGTTTGGTTCCAGCTGATTTGATGTTGGAAGGAAAGCCAGCTTCCTCTTAGCACCAGCTCTGAAATGGCAGAGGTGGCTTACCCTTCCGCTCCTTGGCACCACCGGAGTAGGAAGTGGCTTGGGAAGTTGACAGGCTCCAATGGGACTCCCAGCTGCCGTGCGATCGTCAGATAAAGCAGAGACATGCTGATTGGAATGCCTGTTCTGCGAATCAAAACCTAAACGAGAAGATGCAGAGAAGTCACAGGAGGAATCATCCTTCTCATACAGTCAGTACTTCAGGGATTTGAACTCAGGGCCTCTCATTGCTCTACTTACTTGCTTAGCTGGCACTTGAGTCATACCTCCAGCAGTTTTTTGCTGTTCATTTTGGAGGTAAGAGTCTCCTGGACTTTTCTGCCAGGGGTTGGCTTTAAACTGCTACCCTCTAGATCTCAGCCTTCTGAGTAGCTAGGATGACACGCTTGAGCACTAGGCAATTTAATCTTATTTATTTTTTGTTGGTTGTGGGGCTTGAACGTGGGGCCTGGGCATTTTTGGTCAAGGTCAGCACTCTAACCACTTGAGCACAGTTCCACTTCTATTTTGTGTGTGTTTAATTGGAGATAGAGTTCTACAGGGACTTTTCTGCCCGGGTGGCTTTGAACCACGATCCTCAGATCTCAGCCTCCCGAGTAGCTAACATTACATATGTGCACCACCAGTGCCCGACTTTATTTTTAACTGGCTCAGAGTAAATTGTATTTATGGGGTACAATGTGACATTTAATTGTTTTCTGGCAGTACTGGGGATGCAACTAGGGCTTTGCATGTGGTTAGGCAAGTGCTTTACCACTGAGTTACATCCTCAGCCTATAATGCTGCTAGCTTTTGCAGCTTCAGCAGAATAATTTACTTACTTAGATCAGGAATTAGAAAGATATTACCCACACAGTCTACCAGATACTTTGGTATAGCCAGAGCAAGAAGTTTTTCCTTTTTGTGAGACAGGGCCTTACTATCTAGCCCAGGCTTGTCTGAGACTTCTGCCTCAACCTCTGCCCGCTCCACGCCACCCCCCCCCCCCGCTGGAAGATGTGTGCCATCATGCCAGCACGTTTTTATATTTTTAAGTATTTGGAAAAACAACCAAAAGAACACTGTTTTGACGTAAAAGACGAACTTTAGACGTCAACGTGCATATAAGCTGTTGGGTGCACAGTCTCTTATGTTTGTTGGTCACATGTCCTTGAGGTAAGGCAGGACTCAGGAGCTAAGCCAGCCACAGGGTGTGCACAGGTGTACTGACTCATTGCCCAGGCCCCTACAGAAGGAGAGGACTGACTCTGATTTAGGGCCTCCTTAAAAGAAAAAAAAAACTTACCAAGGAATGAATGGAAGAAACAAAATAAAATGAAATCGCAGAAAGAACCATAGATATGAAAATGGAGACAGGCAAGGAACAAATCCAAACCAACATTGAAGGGACACCAGCCCCAAGTGGCTACATTTTTGCCAGCCCTGGAGGGCAGCTGTAGGAACCCTGAGCACATCTGCGGCTTCGCGGTCACAGGAGCCACTGACCATGGAGCAAGGGATACAGGGTCTGCTTCTAGTAACACTCAGCTCAAGGGTTTGCATAAAGGACAGTCCTTGTCAGGGAGAGTAAACCTTGTAATTCCATGTGACAGAGGAAAAGGTGATTTACTAGACATTCAGAGTGGAGAAGACAGCACTTGTCAGCAAGAAATGCAATTTATCATAGGTGAGCTAGAAGTATGTGCGCGTGTGCACCCCCACACACCCCCATCCCTTGGTATCCATGGGAGACCTGGTTCCAGGGACCCTATGGACACAAAGTACCCTATATAAAATAGCACAGCATTTGCACATAAGCTCCACTGTCCTCCCCTAGTCACGTCATCCCTGGACTACAGTTGTGAGTGTTACCTACACACTTCACAAGTGTCGGTATTACTCAGGTGGCAAGGGAAAATGCTGTAGCCACTACAGTCAGTTATTGTTAATTTTCTTTCTGGTCAGTCGTGGGGCTTGAACTCTGGGCCTGGGTGCTGTCCCTCAGCTCATCAGGTCAAGGCTAGCGCTCTACCACTTGAGCCACAGCGCCACTTCCGGCTTTCTGAGTTGTTTATGGAAATAAGTCTCATGGACTTTCCTGCCCGGGATGGCTTTGAACCATGACCCTCAGATCTCAGCCTCCTGAGTAGCTAGGATGACAGGTGTGAGCACTGGTGCCCGGCTTCCCATGTATTTTTGATTCAGGGGTGGTGGAACAAATGGAAGCAGCAGAACCCACAGACACTCATGTGTGTCTTGAAGCTAGGGCCACACTTGCCTGATGCATATATAAGTTGAGGGCATTATAGTAGTCCATTCGGTTCCCCTTGAACTTCAGCTGGTCATAAAGGACATAGTTCATGGCATCCAGCACCTGGCTCTGGAGCTCTATCTCCATTATCATGGGGGACTCACCTGCAACACAGAGATCTACCCTGGGACACAGCACAAACAAGATCATGATCCTGCCCCCACCACCCCCAGCAGGCAACTAATCTAGGGAGAAGATGGGTGGAAGTCTTTATGTGACTGCTGTCATTTATCACTTTTCTCTGTCCAGTTTTGCTCATGCTGGTGGTGCTCAACCACTTGAGCTCTGCTTTTTTTTTTAAACTCTCTCTCTCTATATATATATATAATTTTTTTTTGTCTTTTTTGGTACTGGGGATCAAACCCAGTATGTTGCACTTTAAGCGCTTTGCCACTGAGCTACATCCCAGCTCTGAGCCCTGCTTTTTGCTGCTTAACTAGAGATGGAGTCTCTTGGACAAAAGGCCCTGACTGGTCTTGAACCAGAATCCTCACATCTCAGCTTCTTGAGTAGTTAGGATCACAGGCATGAGTTACATGGTAGGGCCATATGGCTGAAATCATCAAGTTCATCAATTGTTCTAAGGTTTCCCCTGCAAGCACAGCTAGGTCCAAAGCAATTCCACACCTGCCTTGAAGGCCAGGCTAGGGTGGCGGCTGTTGACACCCCGCAGGGTTTTGCAGACCAGCTCCACAATGCTGTCGATCTGGGCCTGGATATCTCTGAGGCTGATGTCGGAAAGGGGGTTGCAGTACTGGTCAATGTAGACGGCACCTGAGATGAACAAGAACCACAGAGTCAGCTCTCCTACCCACCTAACACCCTAAGTCAGGCTTTCCACACCATCCCACCAGACAGCCTTCCTTGTTGGTCTCAGGCCTCGCACATCATACACACTAAAAAGTGAATAAACAGACTGAGCTTCTCCCAAGGGGTCATATGAGCTATGGCAGCTCCTTATTTTCCTTCAAACAGAAAAAGAGACTCTCCTTCTAACTCCCCTATAGGTCCCCAATCCAGCAACTGGAAAACTTAACAGTACAAGACATAGGATATGAAAATGTTCAGTGATAGACAGGCCCTTTGCATACTTCATTTCCAGACTTGGAGACAACTCCACCTTCCCCCCTTGCCCTGTCTGCTGCCCGAGTTCAGGTGTTCCTGCATGGCTGCACTGCTCTGCAGTCCCTCCCCTCCTAATGCTGTGGTTCCCAGGCTTTTCCCAGAGCACCTGCACTTACTCTAGTCATTCACTCTGGGTCAAAACCCTCCTTCAATCACTGGCAATCCCACAGCTTCCAGGGCCTACAGTGCTGGCCGGCATGAGTAATTCCAACAGGATCTCAACCCGAGCGCGTGTGTGGAAAAACCCAAAACCCAAGGTGATGATTTCACTTTAGTTGATTATGACAAGATTCCTCATTTTCTTTTGGATGATACTAGACTTTTCCACAATCAACCATAACCTAAAATAGGCATTGTGGGGTACACAGAGATCTTAAGGATCTAGAACACAAGAAATTAATCACTCAGAAACCCGTGTCTCAAGTGGTAGAGCGCTGGCCTTGAGCAAAAAAGTTCAGTGATAGCTCCCAGGCAGCGTTCAAGGACCAATAGGAAAAAACAAAGAAACAAAAAACTCAATATAAGGGGCTAGACATACTAGAACATTATCTGTCATCACAGCATTTGGGAGACAGAGGTAGGACTGAGAGTTCAAGGCTAGCCTAGACCCTGTCTCAAAGGTCAAAAGCACAATGTACTCAGCTGAGACAGAAAGGATGCGAGCCAGCTGACATCAGTAGCCGAGGCCGGTGAGAGCTGAGCTGCAGTGGCAAGGAGGCAGGGCAACGCCAGCGAGGAGCCCAGGGTCTCTGCAGGGCCCTTGGCTGGAGAAGCAGCAGGGCACTGCAGAGGTAGTGGGGGAAGTGTGGCATTAGGGGGACGACTGATTGTACGGGGTGCTGAAAAGCAGACTACAGCCACACAGGGTTTGCTTTGGGCTGCTGGGGCATGCTGGCTGACTGGCAGGCAGAAGAGCCAGGTTCCTTAGAAAGCTGCCGGGGAGAGTGGTGACAGCCCACATGGGAGCACAACAGGCTGGAGATACAACTGAAAATGGCAGAAAAGGAAAACTCCACCAACAGGGTGACTCATTGAGAGCAGGGGGGGAAAGTGAGCGTGGACTTCATAACCACAACTTGTATAATATTCCAGGAATCAAGGCTGTTGGAAAACTCAAGTCACAATGTGTTCCTGCTCAACCTTGCAGGAACATGGAGTGGCTCCTCCGCATGCCTGCCCACCCAGCTCCTTCCTGCTCTTGGAGCACAGAACAGCCTGTCCCCATTAACCTCTGACCAGAGGCTGACACGTGCTCTAGCTTACAGACACAGGGACCCATCCATCGCTGATCTGGAAACCATGTTTCCAAGCTTAGAAGAAGGAACTCACCTCATTAGGCAACATGTCGCTCATAATCAATGACACGTCATTAGATAATAAACACAGTCTCTTTAGCTGACTTTGAAACACGTCAAAAAGACCCTTAGCTCTCCTCTGCAGTGCAGCCTCATTCACTGGTCAGACCACAAATTCAACCCCTATCCTCCTCCACACTGCCCCAGGCAGCTCCCACACCCTCGTCCACAAGCACCCAGAGACCCACCTTCAAGATAGGATTCATAGTCATCAGGTTGCTGAAGAAAAGCCTTGAGATTATTTAAAATTTTCTGTTGCCGTAGGTAGTAAAGAATTTTTTTGGCATAGTATTTCCAGGTCAAAGCTTTTCTGCAAAACAACAACAAACAAGTCAGTAAGAATTTCAATTGCCTAGTTTTGACTTCATACTATCATATCAAGATCTTAACAGGACAACCACAATTGCTTCACATTCCTGTAATCCTTAGTGGCATGGAAAACAGCCAGCTCCGTTTAGGACTTGCACCTGCAGGGGGTGGTGACTGGTTGTGTTAAAGGCTGTGGACCAGTTCTGGTCTACTTCCCACAGGTCTGGCAGAGGGAATGCAATAGAGCCTGGAAGAGCTGAGCATCTGGGATGCCGCAGCTGGTTTCCTGGGCTACCACAGCTCACACCACGTTCCCCTTCTATGCCTGTGGCCATGGCGGGTTCTTTCAACTTTGGGAGGTCAAATATTTCCCATTCTGACCATTTACCTGACTAAGAGTTTTCCCCAGAACTCAGCCCCACACAGCCAACTGCTACTGCACATCCCACTATGGCCCACAGCCACCATGGACCACTCCTTGCACCCAACCCAGCCCTTTTCCAGAGTAGCTGCAATATGGCAGGCATTGTGCTTCTGCTCCATGGTGCTCAGCAGCTCACCAGAGGCCAGGCCAGATTCTCCAGTACTGCTCCACCTCACCACTCCATCAATTCCAGACATCCCTGCTCACTGCAGCTCCTGATGGTCCTAGTTCAGTTGCTCCTTCAGCGGCGGGCTGTGTTCATCTGCCCAGACTATGCCTCTGGCTGGCTGCAGCCTGTGCTCACCTCCTTTCTCATATAGTGCCCTCACCCTGTTCCCTGCCTAGCACTGCCGCATAGCAGTTTTCCTTTTCTAATGTAATAAATAACTTGCGTTTCAGCACTGTCTCTCCCACTGCACTGCAAGCTCCAAGAAGGCAGGGTGTTGAGGGGTGCTTGCTGCCATCTCCCCATTGTCTACAGCTGTGTCTGATGGAGAGCAGTTGCTGCCTGAAGCTCCTCACCAGATCACTCCAATGCCCAGGGATCATAGAAAGTGGGAGTCAGGGACAAGCTTCCTTTCACCCATCTTCAGGGATGCAGTGCCATCAGCAGAGGTGCCTGCTCTACCGGCTCTTTAACTCTGGAGTTGCAAAATGCACCTCAGGAAACACAGGGAACAATCAAGCAGCTTCACGAATACTCCTATATTCACCAAGCCAGGCAGAACTCCGCACGCCCCGTAAGCCCTCCATAGGCCCCTCTCCTGAAACATCCTGCACTGCAGCTTATTGCTTCCTGGCTGTGCTCTAGAGATAACTGCCAAATTCACATCCTTAAATATTCTAGTCTGACACAACATCTCTATTTACCTTTTGGTATTGCAGTATTTGAATTCTTAAGACTCTCAAGCTTGCTAGGCAGGTGCTCTACCATTTGAGCCACACTTCCATCCCTTTGACTCTTTTGTATTTTTGTCTTTGTTGAAAACCAGACTGTGTGAACTGTAGCTTCTGGTGGTCTGGAATTTCCTGGCTGTACCCATGTGTTTAATGTATTATTCTGAACATCTATTGGAAACTAGACAGAGGGATTCAGTCTGATCAGATGTGTTACTTGGCCAGATGCCTTCCCAGGAGGTGGAAAGGTCTTCCATCAAGAAGCAGTAACAAGGAGACAGGGACAGATTAGTGGTAGAATGAGCTCTGAGGTTGATCGTTAGCACCACAAAATAATAAGACTATTAATGCCTGTCTTTCCTGTGATGTTAGCAGCCATTCTGACTCACACCCACCTGTCGATTCCTTAGAGGCAATAAGCTGATGGTAAGACAGAAACTATAAGTGAACCAGCCTTATTCATATCTGTGTTCATATTGTTCCTCTTATTATTTTTCAAAATAATGACTTGAGTTTCTTTATACTCCCGAGACCACCAAGTACTACTGTGTGCAAATACTGCTATGAACCATGGTGCTAGACCTATCTGGTGGGGTCCATTCACACCACTCCCATTCACACTGATGCTCTACCCTGTACATCGTCCGACTCTTCACAGCTGACCTAAATGCTTCTGATATGAAGTGCCGTCAGGTGTCTTGCTATCTGACTCAAGGATGCCCAGATGTTCCAGGGGTTTCCCAGGCTGGATGTAGCAGCAGCCATTTCTTAACAGCCTCTGACTTCTTTCTGTAGGAGTGGCATCTAAGATCACACTCTGGCTGCTGGGAAGATCACCTCTACCTGCTTATGACGGCCAGACCTTAGTCTATTGGCTGTACACCTGTGTAAGCACACACCCTTGGTACATTTAAATACAAATACTCCAAGGATTCCCATTGGCCCCGGTAATGACAAGTTGCATGAAAACAGTATTTCCCATGCTCTTCTCTGACAGGGCTCAGGTGTGATTCCACATGTGAGACAGCTCATGCCTCTCACTTGGACTTAAGTCTACAAGACAGGGCTCATTGATCACCAGCAGTCGGTGGTTTTCTCATCTCTCAGCAGATCTAGGGAGAGGAACACAGGTCTCTACAGTCTTTCAAGTTGTTATGTTTGTATATGTAGAAGTCAGTTTCGCTGGATATAAAAATCCTTGGCTGACATTTTCTTTCAATCTTTTGAGTATCTTTTTTTCCTTCTGGCACACATCATTGCTGCTGAAAAGTCTGACGATAGATTCTCGTTTCCTTTTCTTTATAAGTGACTTTCATCTTGTTGCTGAAGTTCCCACAAGATTTTCCCATCTTTAAAATCCAGTGATTTTTTTACTAATGTATATCCCTGTTGGTTATTTTGGATCAATTTTCTCAGGTATTATCTATGCTCATTTAACTTGTTTCAAATCTTGCTGGGCACAGTGGCACATGCCTAAAATACCATACTCAGAAGGCTGAGGCAGGAGGAGCATAAGTTTGAGGCCAGCCTGGCCTCCACAGGGGGATACCATCTTAAAACCCCAAACAAAAATGAAAACACAACTACCAGACATAAATGCAAATTATCTTTAAATATTCAGGGGTTGTGGCTACTACATCACACTCTCCCACTCTGTTCTTTCTGTAAGCAAACAAGCACTGCCAGGAACGAACACAAACAGGGTCCTCTGTGAAAAGTGAAGGCCCAACATACTTGCGTGTGGAGTACCATGCTGTGGCAGAACAGCCGGTTTACACTTCATGTATGTCAGGCCAGGGATAACGTGTGATAGTTCTTCTAAAGGAATAACCTTACATGTTGCTACTGGCTACATGATTCTTTGTTAAGTAAAAGGCATCATTGCATTGTTCTTTAAGTTATTTGAATAGTGAAGTCAAAGCATTTTTCACTACATTTGTTGATGACAATCCTAAGAGCAGCCTTGCCTTGATTTATGACGTCTTCACTCACACCGAAGTTTCTTTGTCATCAAAGATCCCTGTCTGAATCTGGCGCTGGTAGTTCACGCTTACAATCCTACCTACTTGGAGGCTGAGATCTGAGGACTACAGTTCAAAGTCAGCCCAGGCAAGAAAGGCCACAAGGCTCTTATCTCCATAAAACTACCGAAAAAGCCTCAAGTAAAGCTGTGCCTCAACTGTTAGAGCACCAGCCTTGATTAAAGAAACTCAAGAAGAGAGCTCAGACCCTAAGTTCAAGCCCCAGGACTGGCGTGCATACATCCACACCACATCCACAAAAGATTCATCTGTACTTCTGCTGCTTCCCTTACCAACCATGGCTACAGAGGTCATTTTAAGTTTCCTATTTCCTTGTAGAATTTTTCTTGTCATCATTTTAAATATCACCTGTTTCATCTTTTGGCATTTTTGTGTATTTATGTGTACCATCCAAGTTTTACTTTCTAGTTACATGGAATGCTATTCATTAATCTATCTTTTCCCCTTTAGAGTTTAAAAACTAACTCATTTAGAGTTTAAATAACTATCTGTTATTCTGGGATGTTTCTGAACTGACTTTTGCTAGTGCTGACCACATTTTACCTACTTTCAACACTGAGATTGAAAGTAGTCTTAGAATATAATTATGTATTTTTTGACTCTTCTGAATCTATTCTTACTACTTTCAAAAAACTAGAAATGGAGCTGTGGCTCAAGTGGTAGAGTACCAGCCTTGGGTAAAAATAAGGGGCAATACCCAGGCCTTGAGTTCAAGACCCAGTGCCAAAAAAACAAAAAAAACCCACCACAGAAAAAAAAGCAAATAACTCCCCTAAAAACAACAAAAAACCTATGATCTATCCTACAAAAAAGTGGCCAGCCATTCCCCAAAGTGAATTTTATCTCTTGCCAGGTGATCAGGAACGACTTCCCCAAGGAACTGTTGGGTGAGAAAACCCATACAGAGAACCAGTCACTGTGGGATCCCGATTTTGTGAAAATCTGCAACTCCTTCCCCTCTCCACATGGCTGTCTACTGGCTGCACAGAGCAGATGCCATACTAGAGATTAGAGGATGACGCTGGGTGGGCCATTTTAAAGCAAAGTGTTCAGATGTGAAAACAAGGTACCCACATGAAGCATCCAGCACAGACATGTGGGCCCCGGTCTGGGTGGAAGGCAGAGATGCACATGAATAAACCACAAGTGGGATTTACTTTTAAGGCTGCACAGTGCTATTAGATCACACTCCAATTCAGTTATAGATCACCCAAAATAGAAACAGGAAAATGACCTCCACCTGCACTCCTCCAAGGCCTAGAACAGACTCTTCCCTCTCCCCTGTGGCTCCAGTGACAGACATGTACCTCTCCTACATCCCCTAAGAAACAGCCACAAAATACTTTACACCTTGTTGTGAGACAGTTCACAGTAACTTAGAGAAGACCCTGCACTAGCTTTCTTCTCTACCACTAGTAAAGTTATCTGAACTTTCAGAACAGAAAACCTTTTCACCAGGCAAGTATGGCTGACAGCCAAGTTGTCTCGCAGGTTCCTGGAAAGTAATGTTTAGTTGTAAAGTATAAAACATTTTAGGGTAGGTACTAGCAGGAGGGGGTCTAACTTGTCATCATGTGTTATTAAAATAGAATGATGGAAGTTGTTGAAATTGTATTAGGAAGGGGAAAGGGTAAGGGAGAGTCAGTTACTGGTAGTAGTGGTGTGTTTAAAACACATTATACATGTGTGGGAATGTCACCATGAAATAATCCTTGTATAGCTAATGTATGCCATTATAAAAACAAAGCAAACATTCTAAATAACCACCTAGAGATAATGGAGTACTGCAGTCTCTCCTGGAGGCTCAGCACACAGCTACAGTGGTTAAGATCAAGGTAGGGGACTATTTCACATGAACTTCAAGAACTGCAAAATCACCCCCTAAATTAAGACTCACTTAAAAGAGATTTTCAAAAAAGATTAAATTGAAGGCAGGTGGATCTGGTAGTGGCAGAAGAGAGGTGGCAAAAAGGCTGGATCACTGACAGTACAGAGGCTGCCCAGCGCACAGAGGCTGCCCAGAGCACTGAGCCTGTGCTCTGTTGATGCTCCACAGGAATTCTCTCTTTCTCCCCAAACAGTTTTCATAGTTTCTCTACAATCATTCTTCAGTACCTGTGGGGACTGGTTATAAGTCCCTCTCAGATACTCTAATACACACACTCAAGGGCTTCATCTAAAAAGGCACAGTGCTACATACTGCAGAGACTCTGCCCATTCTCCCATACACTTCAAACCATCTCTATAAAGACTTCTAATACCACATATAATGCAAATAATTTTTACAATTTAGGGAATGATAACAAGAAAAATAAATCTGTATAGTTCAGTGCACACAGTGTTTTTTCCAAATATTTGTGATCGTGGATGCGGAGCTGGGCTCATGGCTGCAGATGGCCAACAATATTGGAACTGTCTTCATAACAAAACTGGCTGCAGCATAATATGCAAGATCTGGAACCAGGCCTCAGTCACAATGGACCACAGCAGTTTTCTCTGAGGTTATTTGTTTTTTTGTTGTTGTTGTTTTTGAGTCCGGTCATGGGGCCTGAACTCTGGGCCTGGGTGCTGTCCTTCAGCTCTTTACCTCCAGGCTGGCACTCTACCACTTGAGCCACAGCGCCACTTCCGGCTTTTTTCTTTTTGCTTATGTGGTGCTGAGGAATCGAACCCAGGGCCTCATGCATACAAGGCAAGTGCTCTACCACTGAGCCACCTTCCCAGCCCTCTCTGAGGTTATTTCTATCAGTAAATCCAAATCCTGTGTAAGTTGTGGCTTACCTGCCTTCCATATTTAGGATGCACACCAGCTCATCCTCAAAAAAGATCTCTGGTCCCTCAAGGTTTTCAATATCACTGAAGCCATTACAAGGAACCTATAAGTGAAAGAAAAGCAGAATTAGGAATCTTTCCTTCCCTGGTCAGCGCTCTGGGTCCCTCCCCCTACCCCCACACTTTTCCTGCTGAGGGAGGGAGGAAGTGACGTGGAGAGGAATGAGACCATGGGCCCGTTACTGGGTTACCTATAGATCAGTTTTCAAATGCTAGAACTTCTGAAACAGACCATTCAGAAGGGGGATATGAAGAAACACAGCTCCTAAATGAGGTCAAGACCACCATCTCCCCCAGCTCACAACAGAAAGCCCAGGCAAGGGCTGAGAAGGTGGCTCAGTGGTAGAGTGCTTGCCTTGCATGCCTGAGGCCCTGGGTTCAATTCCTCAGCACCACATAAGCAAAAAGAAAAAAGCTGGAAGTGGCACTGTGGCTCAAGTGGGACAGCGCCCAGGCCCAGAACCAAAAAAAAAAAAGAAAGCAAGCCCAGGCAATCTGTGTTGTGCATACTAGGAGTGGAGCCAAACACTAGGGATGCTCAGAGCGGGAGGTCCCCTCCAACCCGCTGGGTGGGCTTGGCCATGCTCTCAGTTAAAGCTATGACTTTCCCCGTTTGCTATGGTGAAAGGAGCTACAATGTCTCATGCTAACCTGTGCGCATGCCCAGAGCACAGGAAGACATGGATCTTGAGCCACCACAATCACCTACCCAGAGAGCAATCTTAAGTATGTTTCTGTAGCATTCAAAGTCCTTGACACATTTCTAATTAAGTAGTGGTTAGGGGAAAGAGGAGGAAAAAAAAAAGGCACAACAATCCATCATTGTTAGATAAAGACACAGATGGTTAAAAATGCACAGAAATCCAGCTGGACTAGAAGCAGAGTTTGTAAACTAGTAGATTATCACTAGACTGCATCAGAAGCCTAACACCAGAATACCTAAACACCTGTGGGTGCAAAACACACTTAAAACTAGCCACTCAACTGTGGTTTAGCCAGGACATGGTTTCTGTAAAGCAGAACACTGTGCTCTTTCTCACATTAATAAACACTTATATAAATCATTGTACTCAGGGAATATCTGTTCTTATTCCTCCCAGGGGAATGAGTTCAAACTTGTCCAAAGTCCAAATTTTCTCTTTCTTAACCTTTGAAACATCTTTTTTCTTCTTTTTTTTTTTAAGCACTGGGTTTTATTTTTTTGGTCGGTTGTGGGGCTTGAACTCTGAGCTTGGGTGCTGTTCCTGCGCTCTTCAGCTCAAGGCGAGTGCTCTACTGCTTAAGCCACAGCACCACTTCCGGTATTCTAGTGGTTTATTGGAGATAAGAGTCTCATGGACTTTCCTGCCCTGGCTGGCTTTGAACCTCGATCCTCAGATCTCAACCTCGTGAGTAGCTAGGATTATAGGCGTGAGCCACCGGTGCCCTGCTATAGCACTGAGTTTTGAACTAAGAACCTTGCATTTGTTAGGTATGTGTTCTACCAGTTGAGCTATACCTACAGCCCTATTTGCTCTGGTTATTTTTTGAGCTAAGGTCTTGCCTTTTGTCCGGACCAGACTGGACTGGTATCTTCCTACTTGCACTTTTGTGGATAGCTAAGTGAGAGGCATGAACCATTACATATAGTTTTTTCCGTTGAGATGGGTTTTCAACAATTTTTGTTGTTGTTGTTGCTGGCTGTGGGGCCTAACTCTGGACCTGGGTACTGTTCTTCAGCTTTTAACTCAAGGCTAGTGTTCTACCACTTGAGCTAGAGCGCCACTTCTGGCCTTTTCTGTTTATGTGGTACTGAAGAATCGAACCCAGGACCTCATGCATGCAAGGCAAGCACTCTACCACTGAGACACCTTCCCAGCCCATTTTCAAGAACTTTTACACCCAGGCTGGCCTGGAACCACAATCTTCTTCCTGATCTCAGCCTCCCAGGTAGTTAGGATTACAGCTGTGAGCCAGCTTGAAAGTACTTTAAATTTATACACTCTATTACCTAATAGCAGTCAAAATTAGAAAGTCAGAAGTAACCACAAGTATACTCCAAAAAACCAAAATAGAATGAGATCAACTCTAGCCAGGTGCTCGTGACTCACACCTGTAATCCTAGCTACTCAGGAGGCTGAGATCTGAGGATCGAAGTTCAAAGCCAGCCAGGAAAGTCTGTGAAACTCTGAATTCCAATTAATTACAGAAAAAGCGGGAAGAGGAATTGTGGTTCAAGTGGTATAGCACTAGCCTTGAGCAAAAGGAGCCCAGGGACAGTGCCCAGGCCCAGCGTTCAAGCCTCAGAATAGAGGGGTAGGGGAGGGGGGGGTGGGGATCATCTCTATTTGCTGACCCTCAATCAGAAATACACACATCATCATTATTTTTTTAAAAAGCAAAACTCAAAGCCAGGCATGGTGATGTATACCTGTAATCTCAGCACTTGTGTGGCTGAGGCAGAAGGATCACAAGTTCAAGGAAAGTCTGGACTACACAGTGAGACTCGATCTCAAAATAATAACAACAGCCAAAAAAGAAAAATCCCTCAGAAACAAAAATTCCCAAACAAAACACGCAACAAACAACTTTCAGGGACAATGAAGAGGAATGAACCCAAGATGTAAGACAATTTTATTTGAGAGAGCAATAATTCTGATTTACAGGTAGCCCCTTAACCCTCTGTTACCTTAAATAATGCAGTTCACTACTGGAGAGAACCTGCAAAGCAGAGGGAAGAACAGACCACATTCATTTCACCAACCATTCTGGGAAAACAACTACGAGAGATTTACAATGCCCCATCATTGATGATTCCTCAGATCACATGAAGGTTGCCAAAAAAAAAGTTTAACCACTAGAATAGAATACTGCTTATCTGGATTCATTCCTCCGGGTGCAGTATGACCCTCCCTTCTCCCTCCACCCCCATTCTCTCTGGCTTTAGAAAAGTAAAAGCTGGCAGGGACAAGTGGCTCCGTGTTGCTGGATGGGAGGGAAAGGACACAATGACTCTCGCAGCCATGTAAGTGAGTAAGGGATTGTGTGAGCAATGAAAAGGGAGATAGTAACCAGAGCTGGATGAGCTAATGCCTACACACACACACACACACACACACACACACACACACACTCACACACCACAATCAGGCAAAAAGCAAAGAGCTCCATCCACAAATCCTTACATGCTCTGAAAAGAACCTCTTCGAGAACGAGGCTACAATCTTCCGGGCTTCTAACCCAGCTTTCTGTCGAACTTTATATTCTTCCAACCAATTGACGTAGTCGGTGGGGCTGTAGTGTTTCATAAGGGAAGGCCACCTACAAGAGAAAACAGCTCCTCTGCTTATCATTTACGCAAAAAAAAACCAAAACAACGACGACTACAACAGCAGCAGCAGCAGCAACAACAAAAACATGATGGACTGGTGGGAAAAGGGGCCTGACCACGGTTCCCTTCAGATCTCCAAACTCGGGTGTTGTCAAGTGACCTTGGCGTGGCGACACGAAGGCTGTGTCTCCCTCTTCCCCCATCTCTAAAACGAGGGCAGTCCTACCAACAACCCTAATAACGGTGACAATAGTAACAGCTCACCTCGGTGGCGCGCGCTTCCGAAGCGCTGGGCATCCACCTCCTTTAATCATACCACGATTAAAAAAAATAAAATAAAATAAAAGCTAAGTCTCACGATCACCATTCATCCAAGTCGATTCATGAGATAAAGCCAGAAACGGACCAAAAGAGACAGAGGGAGGGAGCGAAGCCCACACCCTCCCCCTTGCCAAGGTCACAGAGGGAGTAACCGAAACGTGCAGCCCACAGCCCTCCTCCCGCCCGGCCGGCCCGAGGATGCTGCGCCCGCGGGCGCCCCGCCATCGCGGGCTCCCGGTAAACAGCACCGGGGCCGCGAGCGGGGGGTGAGACGCACAAAAGCAAGCGGCGGCCGTGCGGTGGGCGGCAGGCCGGGATCCGCCGGGATCCGCGGGCCGGGCCCCGCGCGGGGCCTCCGCCGCCTCCGGGGCCCAGGGCCGCCGGCGGCCTCGGGCCTTTGTCTGCGGGCCGCCGCGGGCCGGGGTGCGGGCGCGGGTGGCGCGCGGGGCGCCGCGGGGGCCGCGGGGCCGGCCGCCCTCCGGGGGTCCCCGGCGGGCCGCGGGGCCGGGCGCCGCGCGCGGGGGGCCGCGGGCTCACCTCACCCGGAACTGCTCCTTCCACACCTTGCCGCTGCTCTGGCACACCTCGCGCAGCCGCCGGCAGGTGCTGGACACGCGGCCGATGTCGAGCGCCGTCAGCGAGCCGCTGCACAGGATGTACTCCAGCACCTCTCCCGGCAGGTGCACCAGGCAGCTGAGGCCCGCCACCTCGGGCGCGGCCTCCTCCGCCAGCGCCGGCACCACCTCCATCGCGCTGTCGCCCGCTGCCGCCGCCATCTTGTCCGCGTACCTGACGGCCGTCGTGCGCGGGTGCGCGCGCGCGCACTGGGGCAGCCCAGCGTCCCCGCCCACCAGCATAGGGGGCGTGGCTAGGATAGACACGCCCCCGTCAGGCCCCCGCCCCCTGGGCCCGGGATTGAAATGACCTTTTCTTGGGAGCTCGGCAGCCTCTGTTTCCTCTGGTCAATACAAAAAGCAGCATCGTATTTTGAAATTAAGGGTGTTTTCTTCTAAGCAAGGGCTTATTTTAGTATGTCAGGGGTAAATTAGGGAGAGTTAGGGAAAGAAAGACATTTCCTGCGCGAAAAGCCGAAAATGGGAGTTAAAGACCCCTCAAAATTAAAGTTTTTAAATCAACAACTTGTGTGTGTTCTCCTGTTCCTCCTGTGCAGTGGTAGGTAGATCCTTGGACCTTCCACCAAACCTCAGGAATTCTCATTCTCCCCAAATTACCGTTGGGTAAATGGAGATTGGAGGTAAGAAGACTTGTTCAGAGACTGTGGTCCTAGATTCAAATCCAGCCCTACTTGATTTCTGTTGGACCGTACTCTTACCCCATGTAAACCATTTTCTCGAATGGGTTCTGTGCCAAGCAGTTTACTAGTTTTGTTGTTGTTGTTTGTTCGTTTGTTTTTTTTTTTGCCAGTCCTGGAGCTTGAACTCAGAGCCTGGGCACTGTCCTAGAGCCACTCTGTGCTCAAGGCTACAGCTCTACCACTTGAGCCACAGCACCACTTGCGGCTTTTTCTGTGTATATGGTACTGAGGAATCAAACCCAGGGCTTCATGCATGCTAGGCAAACACTACCACTAAGCCACACTTCCAACCTACTAGGTTTTTTAAAAAGATTCTTTAGTCAGGCACTGGTTGATGTTCATGACTATAATGCCAGGTCCTCAGGAGGCTGAGCGCTGAGGATTGTGGTTCAAAGCCAGCCCAAGCAGGAAAGTCCCTGAGACTTATCTCCAATTAATCAATAAAAAGCCAGAAGTGTAGCTGTGGCTCAGGTGGTGAAGCCCCAGCCTTGAGGGAAACAGCTAAGGGACAGCACCCAGGCCCTGAGTTCAAGCCCCATGACCACCACACACACACACACACACACACACACACACACACACTCACACACACACTCACACCCTTTACCCACCCCCTGCAACTCTCTTATCTCAGAACCTTTTGCAGTGGGGTGGGGTGTGATAATAGTTCTAGTCTATGTCCTGCTGTCAGGCACATGACATGGTAGGGAGCCCTCTGACCCCCACCTGCCCCCACTTCTACAAATTGCAACTAAACCTTTCATCCCAAAGAATTCTCAACAAAACATATTGCATGTGACTTCATGGAAAATATTTTTTTTCTTTTACCCAGTAACTCAAAAGTTCATCTCTACAGAGTAGTTTTAACTTGGCAGGACATTGAAATTTTGAAATCAGAGCTTCCAAATATGCTCCAAAAGAGCTATGAATTCACGTACAGCAGTCACATAGGAGCTCATGATCTAAACAAAGGTAAACTTTCTAGAAATTTATTAGATTCTATACCAACTAGGTCATCTTTCCAATATGACAAGTGTCAGAATTTGGGGTGGGGGGAACAAGAAAACCAAAAACCAACCAAATCGCTCTCATCTAGTTGAATGGCATAGTTCTTATCTTTAACTGTTGGCCTGTGGTTGTAGCCACTTGTAAAAACTATTACCTATCATTTATAGCTGCATACTGTAGCTATGAAAGAAAGTAAATCTTAGTTCAACTTCTGCCAGTTTTGTTTAGATAACATCACACTTGAGAAGGGCAGGATTTAAAGGTTTGGGTTTTTTTTTTGTTTGTTTGGTTTGGTTTTTTTATTCCTGTTGGGGCAAAGACTAAAGTTCAAAGCAACTTCAATGTTGCTTAAGGGAACACTGTAAAATAACAGTTCTTGGCATCGTATGCCTTAAATGATAAATCTCAAACCATAGAGATTACATCTTTACTGCATGTCCCCATTCCAAGAGACAAATTGTCAGCTGTGAAAACATCTTTAAAATGTACCAAGCTTCCTAAGTCTCAAACGAAACTTGAAAATTTTCGGTACCTACTCCAGTCAAAGGAGGCTATTCCGCTTCTCTTGCAAACTGATACCTTACTTTACTCCTTTTCCAACCTGATGAATCTCTTTCTTCTACTATTTCTAGAACAAGGTCTACTCCAACTGTGAGAGTAGCTTCCCTTTGTTGGAGATCGGCTGCAGGTGGGAGGATTCTTTCCTTCTAGAATTATCTACACAGCCAGCCGTGATTCCCAGAGGGAGGTAGGCCACAGCTTTAGATTTCATTTCTTGACGTTCAAAGATCCCACTCTTTTTTCTATTTTTTTCTTTTTGGTCGGTTGTGGGGATTGAACTTGGGCCTGGACTCTGTCCCTCAGCTCTTCAGTGCAAGGCTAGCGGTCTACCACTTGAGCCACAGCACCACTTCCAGGTTTCTGGTGGTTCATTGGAGATAGGAGTCTCACAGACTTTCCTGCCCAGACTGGCTTTGAACTGCGATCCTCAGATCTCAGCCTCCTGAGTAGCTAGGATGACAGGCGTGAGCCACCCGCTCTTACATGCAGCTGCCTGGGGCTGTCACACAGCATCAGCTGCTTCTTGGAGGGTGGGGGTGGGAGCTCAAATTCAATCAAAACAAAGCAAGGAAGGTTTCTAGCAGCCCACAAGTTTCAGAGAGACCCACTATAACCAAAAGCCTGTCATTGTTGCCCAAGCAATTTACTTAAAACCTGGCACAGGCAATCCAATGGACAGGAATCAAGTACGCATGCTCACACCCACACACTCTGACTGGCCTAACCACTCCCCGCTGCCTCACTCATCATCCACAAAACCTCAGACCCCAACACCATGATCCTTTATGTTTGCGAAGGCGCATGTTGCCCCTCCCACCCCACAACAGGTACCAATTTATACCCATTCCACACATGTGGAAGATGAGCTTTGCAAACATGGGGTCCACTGGTTCAAAGTCACCAAATGTGGGTATTTCTTTTTCCTCCTTTCCTCCTCCCCCTCCTTCTCTTCTTCCCCTCCTTCCTCTTTTTTTTTACCTCTGCCTTTGCCTTCTCCTCCTCCTCTGTCTTCTCCTCTTTCTCTTCTTTCTTTCCTTCCTTTCTTCCTTCCTTCTTTCCTCCCTTCCTCCCTCCTTCTTTCTTTCTTTTACTTCTCCTCCCCTTTCTCCTTCTTCTTCTTCCGACTTTTCTTTCTTTTTGCCTTTAAACTCTGTTCAGTTCAGCATCAGGCGGGTTGCAAAGATCTGTCCGTCTCCAGGAGGTGCAGTAAAGCATCCTCCACAACTTGGAAGTCAGGATGCCCTGAGGGAGGAATTCTTCTCACTGGATGTAGTTTCTCTAGCAATAGTTCTCTATTGCTCTTAAAATACTATAATCCTAGCTACTCAAGAGACTGAGATGTGAGGATCATGGTTCCAAGCCAGCCCCAGGTAGGAAAGTCCATGAGACTCTTATCTCTCTCTCTCTTTTTTTTTTTGGTTCCGGTCATGGGACCTGAACTATGGTCCTGGGCACTGTCCCTCAGCTCTTCAGCTCAAGGCTAGCACTCTACCACTTGAGCCACAGCGCCACTTCCGGCTTTTTCCTTTTTTTGCTTATGTGGTGCTGAGGAATTGAACCCAGGGCCTCATGCATGCAACGCAAGCACTCTACCACTGAGCCACCTTCCCAGCCCCACTCTTATCTCCAGCAAAAAGCTACAAGTGGAGCTGTGATTCAAGTGGTAGAGTGCCAGCCTTGAACAAAAAAAGCAAAGGGATAATGCCTAGACTCTGAGTTCAAGTCCTAGTACCAGCATACATAGAAAGAAAGGAAGAAAGAGAACTGAAATCTGTATGAGAAAGTTCTGAAATCTGTAACATTGTTCCAAAAGGACAAACTACTCTGGTCCTTGCCTGCCCGTCTGAGGCCTTTCTCTCTTTCTCTAAACACACATGCCCAAGATAAGCCAGTATCTTTCTCCCCACAACCTCCCTTCTCAGGGAGACTTCTCTTGCTGTACTTCTGGCCAATTCTTTCTCCTTTTGGTTGCTCCTCCTCCTTTCCCCCCTCCAAGGCTGTACTTAAGTCTCTGAGTATGCTCTTTGTCTCATCCTGGGACCAGATACAGCTCCTCCCCAGTTTCCTTCTTTCCCTTACTGAGGATCAAGCCCAGGAACTTGTGCTTGCTAGGCAAATGCTCGACTACAGATGTTTTATTTTTATTTTATGTTTCAGATAGAGTCTTAAACTTATAACCCAGGCTGTTCGCCAATTCACTCCATCCTCCTGCCTTACCCTCCTGAGTAGCTGGGGTTACAGGAGTGTACCATCATGCGTGGTGCCAACACTTTTTAGTCTTGTAATTATTTCCTTCAACCATAGCCATGTATTCAGTGAGTCTCTTTTGCTTTCCTGGACCAAGTCTTGCAGGACCAAGACTCTAGCAGAGTCAGCTCTGGATGCCTACTTATTTGGCAGATCATCACGATCTGTCAACTACAAATGCTTAAACAGATGTTGGATTCATGTACTTTGTGAGATCAGTTTTCACATCTGTAAAATGGGCACAATAACAGTGCCTGCCTGCTGTGGCTATTGGGAGGACTGAGTAGACTCGAGTGATGTGTGTAGAGCAGAGAAAGTGATGGGTGACAGTGTGCTACTGTGGAGGTAGGGGGCCTGGGGTGGTGCATCCAAGGCCGAATGTCACTTTCTCTGCACCAATGTGGGCTGAGATGTGTGGGCCACTCTCCCAGCAGAGCTAGAAGAGGCTGAGAGACTGCTTAGATCTCAGCCTTGGTAACTGTATCTTAGGATGTGTGTGTGTGTGTGCGCGTGCGCGCACGCGCACGTGTATACACTGAGAGCATGGACAAACACAATATCCCCACCCAGGCCCACTGACTGTTCCATCTGCCCACCTCCACCCAGCTTCCAAGGCCATACTTCTTGTTGCTCACATCGCTTGCCTTGTCTGTCCCTTCAGCCACCTTTCTGAACCCCATCCCTG